CTCTCTTGCTCTCTTTCTCTCTCGGTCTCTCTCTCTCTCTCTCGTCCTTCCTCGGTTACAGTCCCTTCGTGTAACTGCCCCTTTAATAAATCTCTCAGTTCAGATGGCGTGGAGTCATTACTGGGCGCCCCCAAAACTTCTTTCAGTTTTCTATACCAATTATCTTCCCCCACTTATGTTTTTCATCATGTCGTGTGTACATTTTTCTCCCTTTTTGATTTGATAACTTTTGTATTTTTTTTCAACCCGTGGATTTATTAGTCCTTTGATGTTAGTTTTCGTAATTCACTAATTTCTTCCTTCTGCCTTAAGAAGCATCTACATCTAATGTTTTAGTATCTTTTTTTCCTAGATATTATGCAGTCTCTACTTTGACATCGCTTTTTCCAAATAGCAAATTAGAAACCTTCTTTTGAAAAAAAAAATTTTATTTATTTATTTATTTTTTTAGTTGAAGTCTCACTCTGTCAGGTGGGAGTGCAGTGGCACGCTCACGGCCACCGCAGCCTCGACCTACTGGGCTCAGGCGATTTTTCTGCTTCAGTCGTCCTAGTAGCTGGAACTACAGGTGCTTGTCACCACGCCCAGCCAATTTTTGGATTTATTGTAGACACGAAGTCTCTTCATGTTGCCCAGGCTGGTCTCGAACTTGTGGGTTCAGGCAAATTCTCTCGCCTCCGCCTTCCAAAGTGCTGGGGTTACAGGCATGAGCCACCGCGACCGGCCTAGAACACCTTTTTTTTTTTTTTCTTCCTCTTTTTTTTGAGTTGGAGTCTCACTCTGTCGCCCAGACTGGAGTGCAGCGGCCGCTCCCGGCCACCGCAGCCTCGACCTGCTGGGCTCCGGCGATCCTTCCGCCTCAGCCTTCCGAGTAGCCGGAATTACAGGCACGCGCTACCACGCCCGGCTGATTTTTGGTTTATTGTAGAGAGGAGGTCTCGCAGCCCAGGCGGGTCTCGAACCCGTGGGCTCAGGCAATCCACTCACCTCAGCCTCCCAAAGGCGCGGAATTACAGGCTGAGCCACCGAGCCCGGCTTTTTAAAACCCAGGTGGTTTTAAGGTTTTTATTTTAACTTATTTATTTTTTCGTCCTTGAGAACTTTAGAGAACCAGTACCTCGCTCTCCACCGGCCTTGACTTTCCCCGGGACTCCGCCTCCCCCACTGCCCTGCAACTCTTAGCAGAGAGGTCACAGGGGGCTTTCCCTCCCCTAAGACTAGGTGAGCCAGGAAATCCCAGAAACAGCCGGAAGGAGCAGGGACTGGACACTGGGAGGTTAAGGACAGAACACGCCCTTATCCCCTAGGCTCAGGCCACACCCCCCGGGCACGCGCCGGACTAGCCAATCAGCACCTCTGGCTCCGGACTCGGTTCTTTGATTGGTGGTTGCGAGACGCCCTCTCACGCCCCAAGAGACCTATCCCTCCTCTTTGACTTGGACGGTGGCCGGCGGGAGACAACAGGCCCAGGGAACGGAGGAAAGCGTTTGGCGTGTGGGAAGCAGCTGCTGGTGTGCGCGGGAGGGGGAGAGCGGGCTCTGGGGACATGGCTGCGGCCTGTGCGGCGTCGGTGCTCCTGGTGGCGGCGGAGAAGAACCGGTGGCAGCGTCTCCCGGGCC